CCATCAAGGTAAGTATGAGGTTTTCTTTTGTCCTCGTCCGACTCTTATACATCCTCCCCCATCGCGCACGGACCATCAGTTTAGGGCAAGCTGATCCAGCTCGCGACGGCCGTACAGGCGTACTGTAGTCTGTCAGACTTATTGAAGCTAAATCCAAGCTTCAAATCAAGACGAAGAACAATTAACGTTAATGAACGTCGATGCCGCTAAGCAGATTGACCCAAGAACTGCATGCATCCTAATGAATCAATAGGCTCTACCTCTACTTTAGGTTTAGGCATGTGTACATATATAATTCACCAGTAATCTTCTGCTCGCTGCTCCACCACCTCGCCCTTTGTCCGCTTCTTCCGCTCCGCCTCCCACCGCTCTATCCACTTCTCCATCTTCTTCCGCGAGTTCTCGCTGCCCACGTTAACCGTAGCGATCATCTTCCCCCAGTTCACCGAGAGCGCGAAGCACGTCAGCTCGAAGAACGAGCTGTGTTCCGAGTACGGTACGCCGTATATCTGCAGCGCTGCGGTTGAGTTTTTCATTGGATTCAGGTGCGTATGGGTGAAGTTGCGGCTCTGCGAGCGCGAGATGACAGTCGCGACGGCAGGCGACACATCCGTTCCGGCAGGGGCAGAAAAACTACAAGGCCCTTGTCAATCCGAGTTGGTTTTGAACGGATGGGCGAGACTTACGTCCATCCTGTGGGTCGAAAACCTACGGCCTTATGGTAATGGCCCTTGTATCGTTCAACGTAGTCTTTCAGTCTGTCCGAGGCAATCACACTAAGAGGTACAAGGTGCACTCCACCCTCCATGGGGTCCTTCGTCAACAGTGCGTCCAGTTCAGGATCAGCCTGACAGCGAAGAAGAGCAGCCTTGCGCGAATCGCAATAGATCTTCGTCTGTAGTGCGTGTGCGATGGCTATTTTGGCAATGATAAATTCCAATGTGCAGTGATCACGATCAAAACAGAAGCTTACCTTTGACTATTCGTTCTTTTCCAATGGAGTACGTCCTGAGTAGCGTTCAATAAATAAAAAGGCTGATCCGCCGATCATGAACTCGACATACCCAACGACGACTAGCACCCGGCCGGGTTTCGAGTAATTCGCGCCCTCTTTCTCTGGAGATGTGAGCCAGCTATCCATTGTCCTCTTACCCTTACTATTATCTCCTACATCATGTAATGACTGACCGACGACGAGCCGCCTTGCCAACTCAGCACATGCAGTGATGACTTGGGGCTGTGGCGGAAAACAGTACTGCACTTCAGATTAGCATCCTTCCAGATTAAAATAAGTGATGGCCGACAGCAACTTGCTTTGGGGTCCAGATATGTCGTATCAAGGTAGACATGATCAAGCAGCTTGCCCTTCACCGACGGATGATTGACGTGCCGCGGAGATGCGCGAAAGTCTCCACAGTGCAGGTAGCGGAACGTCTTGCTTGAGCCGACGAAAGATGATTTAAATGCGCTGTCTCCAGCGTTTACAGTCTGCGGACCTTCAAAAAGAAAAAGACACGAGCCTGGACCTGCGAAGAGAGGATATTGATACTCAACGACGCACTTGAATCAAACAGAAAAGTGACGCACAGTGGTTTGCTTCAATGAGTGTCACCTGCACACCACCTGTCTGCGGTATTATTGTTGCGACATCCATCGGGAGTGCGTGAACCCACTGTGGATCAACACCAAGCATATGGATAATAAGGTTAGCAGTGCCTTCAGAGCAATAGATAGGCCCGCTCCTCCAGTTGGCCGAGAGATTAGTGTAATGATCAGAGTGGGCATGTCTATAGATCCAAGTGAGCGTCACGTCGCATGAGACGGTGTATTATTTCGGTTGCAACTCACGTCAGGAAATACGCAGAGATACCAGGAATGGTGCCGTATCGAAAAGCATCCACTGCGATAGGCATGCCCTGCATGATCTTGTAGAATGGCGCTTTGCGCCGCCCGCCATTACCTTTGGTGGGACGAAAGCTGCGATCCTCGGCAGCTGACGCTTCTTTCCATGCCTCATTTTCTTTGTGCGATGACATCAACACTGAGAATACCTGGGTCTTTTTGGCGGTGTAAGGCGGAGAGATAACTGGATCCTGTTCGATTATAGGTGTCTGTGGCGGTTGAGAAGGAGATACTGGATGTAAGGGCTTCGTCGGGGAAGATTCAGGTGGCACAAATGTCGGAATTGGCTTGGGACTTGAAGAGGCTAGTGACGTGCTTCCTATTGTTGAATCAAGACAGAGGTTCACATGTCTTTCCATGTCCTAAACATAAAATATGAGAGCTTTAAAGACTCGTCGATGAAGTACGATATTCACTGCTGCAGTAAGATTCATGAGCTCTGCGTCGCAAAGTGGGCATCTAGTAACAGTATCCCCTTCGATAAAAGGGATTTCGTCTTCAAGAGCCACATTGAGATTGACGACCTCTTCTTCAGCCATTTCGGCCAGAAGTTCGGGATCATCGAGGTCCATTTCATCGTCGCCTGTTGCCCATTCTTGAGCTATAAGCTCTCCGGTAGAAATATCCCGGAATGACGTTGACGGTTCAAGAACAGGAGGTACGGAGGAGCCAGTTGGCAAATTTAAAACAAGAATGCGTGCGTCGTCAATCCCCGCAGGATCGGATATCGAAGGTGAGAGCAGCGCAGAAGGGGTACCGAATGTGCAAGGTTCTGCTGATTCAGGACATTCCGCAGATGTATCTGGCAAGAGAAGAGCAGAGGGACGCCCAAACCAATCGTTCTCCTGGTTGTCTTCTCCACGGCTCGGGGAACTTGCATGCTTGTCCGGGATGACGCGGACAGCTCGAGGTGGTGTACGAGTCAATGACGTGTCTACCCAGTCTTCACAAACAATTGGCGTGCTCTGTGATCCCCCCGCGGTTTGCGATATCTGAGGGCGGCGCACTTGGGAGCCACTTGCGCGTGAAAAGGTGCTTACGACCTCAACGCATTCCTCATCCGACTCTACTACAATAATCTCCGGAGATAACGTGGTAGAAGAAGAGGCCTTGGCTTGCCGCTGCTTAGTTCGGGGCAGATCTTCCTGTAGCCTGGGCTTCTTGTGTCCCTGCCATGGAGAGAACTTTATGAAGAAACTGTCAAGCGTCGATGACTGAGTCGACGACTTTCGCTTCTTCGCCATTATTGACGGCTTTCAAGCAAAATGCTTGCAAATTAGATCAAGGAACGTTGCAGCACTTCATTTGGATTCAAGCAAGTAGTGGGCGGGTGAAGCCAGGAGTCGGCCAACGTTTATTTGCCAAAGGGGCAAAACGTGACTTGATGTGACATCAAAGGTGTGAGTGTGACGAGTCGCGCTGAAACCCTGCGGTCGACCAACTGCGATTCTCCTCCGAACGTTGTCCGAACGGCAGTGGTTTGGACTCCAAACACTTCTCGTGTCCAAAAGACCCTTATGATATACACCATTGTCTCTCTCGATGCCATATCACAAACAGCTCTTTGCCTCACTACTTGTCCACCCGTTTACAATCCCGAACGCGTGCCAGGTCCGAGAATATTGGGCAAATTCTCTGTGATAAACTCTACGATCGCATCTGGTCCTCTCTCATTATGCAACCCATAAGGAATACTGAACGTCTTGATTCCTGGCACAGTTTGCTTCGCAATTGTCACAATCTCCTGCAGATTGCATGAGAATGTACCCCAGCTCTTTACTCGAGAAGCCTCACTTGTGCTTGTTCTGGTGTCCACATCGATGCTGTGAACTATATGATGCCGTCCAATCAGAAAGTGTCTGAACAGGAGCAAGAGAACTTGACTGCTTACGAGCACATCTGGCTGCTCTCGCTCCAAGGTAGGCTTCACATCGTCGATGTCTGTCGCATGTATGCGCAATGATACGGCACAGTACACGGATTAGGCACTTACTATCAGCGTTAGCCGCGTGCACTATGGTGTAGCGATCCTTGACACCCTCCGCCACACGCCCGATCAGGCGCTTTGCTCGCTCCGGCGTGGTGTTCACCGTAACCAACCTGAAGATCGACATCGAGGTATATGCGTAGAACCTTGGTGTGCTGATCTTTACGATACAAGTTTTGGAAGCTTAAGTATGTACGAAGACGCGATGCGGATCGCCGTGTTCTCAGATGCCAAATCTCGTGACACGATAGCTGACTTGTCTCAGACTTAGTGGTCACTGTGAGATCCCAGCTCTTCACATTCTAGGGAAAACATAAGCATAAATTATATTCTGCCCGGATCCTTTATGACAAACTGCGCCTCGGTGAGCGGGACTAAAGTATAGCTAATGCATCATAACTAACGAGAACACGACAGCTCGAAAACAATGCGAATGGTCGCAGAAACTGGAATGGAAGGCTACAGGGTAGAGGTATGCAAAGTTCACCAGTGAACCTATACTTTCATGAATATACAGATACAACGATACACCCAAATTGCTCGACACATGTCCCAAATGTTGAAGTTGAATTGATTTTACCAAGGGTATGGCCAACCTGTTGGCCACGGCCACGACCCAACTGGGTCCCGTGCCGAAGGTGCAGCATGTGTGGGGCTCGGGGCAGCTGTCGCGGTCGCAGTAACAATATAGCTCTCCCATGCCGCGATCGTTGCGGATGGGAAAGTATATGTAGATTGCGTTGCACCGGATCCAATGTAGATGCCTGATTGCCCTGGCAAGACCGCTGCAGCGAACGATGACACTTCCCCACCAATGACGGCTGTTTGATCGCCTACATTGACTACCATGCCAGTCGGGTCGTTACCCAAGATGAAGTCCCGGAGGAATTGGTACGCCTGCCCATACTCGGTAAATTGATTAACTTCACTAAGAGAGACGGTCACGAACATTCGCAGGCTGCTGCTGTGCAACTAGATGTCCCGCCCCTTTAAACAGGAGATAGGTCCAATTCCGCTCTTGATGCACGATGCCGGCAAAGCTACCGTCGTCTGCGTACCACGGAGTAGAAGGTGGCTGAGAGAAGCCCTGGATACCCCCAAAGGTTGTATTCTGCGCTCCATCGTCAGCGACCGATGATTGCATATACCCGCGTTTCTTTAAACATACCTGAATGACCACTGCAGCACGACACACGCGATCAGTCATGATCAGTGTAGAGGAAGTTGGATATACATGCCTTGCGTCCCTCGGTGCGTGATGTACGAGTCGTCATTGCCGGAGTACAGAATTACTGAAAGCCCGCGTTGTGATGCGTTAGTTGCTAGCTCTGTAAGGAAGGCCATCGGCCTGTGCATCGTGTTGGCACGCTTCCAAGATCAGGAATATAGAGATGAAGACGCACTCGACACCTACGAAGGTCATCAGCGACGAATCGGATTATGAAATGTAAGAAACTCACTAGGATCGTTGTAATCATTGTCTGCACCGCCTGATCAATCGCCAGTCCTACGTCATCAATTCGCTCAACCTGCGACAATGTAATGACATACCAAGGAAGGGGTAGTATTCCATCTCTCCGACCCACGGCTGGCTCGTGGGAGCGTGCAGTGCTGCTACAGTTTGGGGATCTGGGAGAAAATTAGCGAGGGAACTATTTGACAACTCTTCCACGAACCATTGAAGAAGTAGCTACCGTCCATGGGGATCTCTGGGTTAAGTGCATCGGGGATATCATACACCTATGTACATATGAGTTTCTCACTTCACAGCTCGACGCTAGGAATATTTCGCACATCGATTCCACTGAAGCTGCTGGTGACATCTAGATATGCATGGTGATTACGTGGTGCTGAGTCTCGCTGCTATGCTCACGTACCCCACGGATAGGTGAAGTTGAGGGCATAGTCGACCATCCCGTCGTACAAGAAGCATCCGTACCATGGGTCGATCGTCCCGTTAGCTCGCCCCGCCAGGTCGCGCTTCATATGCTGCCTTTGAATCCCATTCGCACGGTCCTTCGCACGCACGCTAGATGAGCCGTAGCGCCTGCGGCCCTCTTGCATCATGCCCCGCCAGGATTTGGGCAGGCTGCGCTTCTTCATATAGAGGTCGGGTATGCGCGCAGGGTCGGTAGGGTAAACGAGTTGCAAATCAGGGAAGTAACCGTCCTGCGGGTATGTCAAGTTCAGGTCGTAGCCGCAGAGGTGTTCCCTGGACAGAACAAGTGAGCATCTACGTTTTTGGATATGAGATGCCACTGACTGCTCTCTGAACCACTCGAAAACCTCAGTATCGTAGCCAATGAGTTGCGGATACGTTTGCATGACGGTCAACTGGAATGAACATCAAGATCACAGCACATCTTTGTGCTGAACTGGAACTGATACGCACAGTTGGAAGATACTCATAGACGGCCTCAGAACCAATCGTTCCATCTCCAATAGCAATTTTGGCAAGGTTCACAGGGGGATCTGACATGCCGAAATACGCTTTGGTGATGTAGGGCTTGCCATCCGATAGTCAAGACTCGTTCCTGACGAATCGAGATTGAAAACTCACGATGAACATCCCAGCGTAACTCTCTCCGGTCAAGTGGAGAGGTCGTGTTTTCAAGCTTGGAAATACTTTCACAAGATTGTCGAGAAATCCCATCTGCCGTGCACCGATTCATCAACATGTTCTAGCTTTTGGAACCGGAGAAAATAGCTCACAAAGTCTGTTCCGACTTGATCTTCGTCGTACACTGAAGCACTGAGGGTAAGTATCCACCCAACACTTGAAGACACGGAGATCCTCACCAAATCCCGTAGCATCCGCGGTGGACCAGCCCGTCCCTCTAGAGAGTGGGTTAGTCAACATCCGTAAGGAGAACATGTTCGGTTTACACTGGTTGATCTATCCAGAAGTAATCGGCGAGGTTATTCCATCCATACGGATTTTCATATGCGCCGAGATCGGGATTCAAGTGAATAGGACCATTCTGCATGATCACACGATGTCACAAGCGTTCTCAAATCCTATCGCGGCCCGTACCTCGTATAACAATCCAAGTAGACTCGAAGCACCAGGACTAGTGGGGAACGTCAGCGACCAGCCTTATCGCTCGCATGGCATCAAACAGGATCAAATTTACCCTCCATTCAACCAGATGCCCCATGGTGCGTCGCTGTTTTCACCTGCTGCGGCAGTCAAGGAACCAGATGATGATTCAAAACCCCAGAAGTAAAGCGTGTCGTTGGGATGTCCCTCCCGCTGGACAGGGAGGTTACCGGCAAAGCTGCGCCCAAGGTCCCAAGTGATATTGGGCAATGGCTCTGTGACCTCAAAGTCTGACAAACATCCATTACTTGACATGGTGCATGCGAACACGAAACTATTCGTACTGACAACTTTGCCACGCCGGCCCATATCCCACGTCTGGCATGTTAGGATAAGCCTGAGGCCAGCTACTAGTAATTTGGGCCGTCGCCGAGGGAAGGGAAGCAGACGCCACTAGGGCGAGCAACGTCAGTGGCAGCATAGTGGGCGACCTGTCCTCAAAGCTGGTGAGATGGAACGACGTGCGATTGTCAGACTATATACCACACCTGGTGGGACGCGGGTCGTGAAGATTGGTAACCCTCACCGGCACGACGCGGTCCAGGCGCCCCGGCAGAAGATGTTAATAAACAGGATAGGCAGATGGGTCGTCAATGTTGCAAAAATATGTGCACAGTGGACAATAGTCAAGCGTATGCGGGGAACAATAGAGCAAAAATGTGCCTGACGACGCTAAACTCCCGGCCTCAGGGTCAATGGCCGAGATCCGAAACCTCCGAGTGCTCAATTATGCTGATCGAGTGCGCCACAGGTCGGCTTATTTCCCCGAGAGCTTCAGCGAAGGCCTTGAAGCGATGTGCGACTTGGAAATTGGACGAATGTGTGGCCCGGGGTTTGATCAAGGATGGATGGCATGGGACGACGCGACGCCATCCGTAAGCAAATCGGGAACGTGGACTGAAACGAACATCTCAGCGGAAGAAGACGACTAGATCTATGAGGAACGTTCAGATCGAGTACGATGTACGTAATGTGCGAGTATGCGTGCATCCTGCCGGCGGCAACACGTCAATTCCAGACAATAAGTCCTGTGACGGTGGATGTTGGGACAAAAGAATCGATTCAGTCTCGATATATATGACAAGTTTCCACGAGCGTGTACTCGTATCAATACGAGAACTTGATACATAAGTGACTATGCACGAGCGCCAGCTTGTACCTCTGCCTTGCCTACTTGCGAGTGTCGCGGACTTTTTTGCCTGTCGGCTTCATTTTTAATATGAGTGCTCCTGTAATAAAGTAGCAGATGCATTGAGGATCACGGGGATTGTACGATGATTTAAGGCCGACGGAGATTTGAATCGCGGTTATAGGGTCGATGCTGCTGGAAATACTACACCTCATCCGATTACATATAATGCGTTACCATTGAACACACGTAAGTGAACAACAACGAATACGTTCCAGGCTTGGACGGCGATTGCCAGATTGTCTTAGAACATACTCAGACGATTATATATAACAGTGTGTCTTTAGTTCATAAGGCCTGGTGGTCTAGTAGTATGATTCCTTCTTAGGGTTCTTTGCTTACGTAAGCGAGGGTTCAACTTTAATGGAGGAGGCCCCGGGTTCAATTCCCGGCCAGGCCCTTTCTTTTATTCTATTTACTATATATTCTATGGGTTTGATGTCTTTTGCTTGCGGCACTGGCACCACAGTCACTGCTCATTAGCATTTTCAAGCACTTTGATAAAGCACTAGTGGAGCACTTTTCCAAGGTCTGTAGAGCAAGAGCACCAAAGTTTGTCTAGACTTGCAACGCTATGTATATACCAGGCTTTGGGACACCATCCCCGTGCTCATACACTGTTTCAGGTCTTGGGGTCTTTGAATAAAGTCTCTTTGGACACTTCTGCAAAGCTGTGAGAAGATACGATCACTCACAGACTAGTATTCGATTTGGTTCACAGTCAGAATAATGTAGAGAAGCTCAACCTTGCGCAATATAGATACTTGTAAACAGTGGACAGTGATCGTGTTGGTCATGGATGTATTTTAAACAGACTGTTAAGGGACCTGACAACTGAGGATCAGAGGTTCCACTTAAGACTACTACTGACAAAAAGTACTGTTATGCGTAAGACTGACGCACTATACTAGAACTAGACTTAGAGACTGAGCCACTGCAACTAGCAGTGGTTTGAGAATGTATACTGGGTGAAGCAACACTTCAGACTGAGACTAGAATAGACAATTGAGTCTATTACTGAAGATGTCCCTATGAAGGTATGTAGGGAACAAGAGAACAAAACTAAAGTACAGTAGTGAAAGTAGTGCTACTTAAATAGGACAAAGCGAATAGAGTTTAATAAGTATGAAATACTGAGTTGGATCAGTGATGTACAT